CCAAAACATTCAAGAGAAGACAAAGAAAAAGCAGAGAGCTTTATTGAAAGATGAACTTACTCTAGAACTCTCTAGACTGGAAGCAGAGTCACGGATATACAAAATGCACTTATCAAGATCTGTGGTATCCTGATCATGAGATTCATCTATGACCTGGGTACCCTGAAAAGGCACAAACAAAAGTATAAGAAATCAAAAGCATAGCAAAGTAAGATCAAACAAACACTGTGATGGATTTGGGATAAAGATTCTCGAAAGGCAAGGAATATATGTAAAATCGGACGATAAGCTTACCAAGCTCACATAAAAGTCGAGGACATCACGGCGAATAGAATCCATATCTCCCTTGATCACATCAGGCTTATACCTGAAATATTTTTGTTCTATGTATAAACAATCTAATCTAAAACATAAGTGAACAAGGAGAATCTAAGAAGACTCTTGTACAAAACAATCTCCAGCTTAAAATTGAGGCACTTTCAGTGGGGAGGCTAAACAAATAGTGTCATCTGTATAGATATAAATGCAAAGAAATGAAGATGAGAATTAAATGGAGAACCTGTTTCGGATGGAGGAAGCGTCTTCATGAGGGAAGAAGAGAGGTAACTCGTCGTAGATGCGATTAGCGCCACCATCAGCACAGAGACGAAGTGTTGCTGTTCTATACAGAAATCGAAACCAAAAAAATTGTAAGAGAAAAAAAAGCAAAAAACCCCTAAATTCAAACAGAGTTGTAGAAAGAGCGTGAGAAGAAGGTACCATGTTCCCAGAGAAGAGGAGTGAATCGTGGCAGATTCTGGTTAAGAACAACGAGAGCGTATTTCGTTTCCTCGGCTGGATTGTAAGGAAGGAGAAAGCTTGAAGAGTGAACCATTACATCCATCGGAGCTAATTGTATCTGATATTTTTGTTTTTATTTTTGTTCATTAAATCAATCACTGGGGTCTGGGAGGGGGGGTTTGCTGATAAATTATTTGCAACATGCGGCTGGAAAGAAAAAAAGAAACTAAACTGCTATACAAAAACCAGGAACGCTAGTTCACAATTCCTACTAATCCGCTACTATATCACCATATATTAACATTTCAACACCAAACACACCAAAGTTTTCCCTTCTAAAACCAGTGAAGAGAAAAAACGCCCAGTTGATCAAATACTGTACATTGTCAGAAACTGCTCCGCAGCAACCCATAATACCAACATATGTCCATGACAATAAACCCGAAAGCCACAAACTTTACTAAATTCCCCGATCGCAGACAGCTAAAACCCACTAGGCTCAGAATTTGAGAAACATGCAAACAATATATAAAGCAAACAGAAGCAAAATAACAGACCTGAGAACATTGAGAGATAAGCTTGGCCCAAGGAGCCTTAGCAGTCCGCTTCTTTGAAGATTTCGATTTTTCAGCTTCGACCACTACATCACATGAACAACCAAAAGACATGAGGAAAAAAGAGATAAAACTTGTAGTCATGAAAAAGAGAGAACATGCAACATGCGAACCTGCAGGGGTGGGCGTCACCAAGCCTTCAACTTCTGGAATTGTGTCGGTCTCCATGGCCGGCACATCGGCGGTAGTGACTGGCCTCTCGGCACCATTAGTCTGCGGATCAGGAGTTCTCCGTTCCGGCTCTCCAGATTCCGATCCAGGATCCGAAACCGGCCCACGATTTTCAACCGGCACCTCACTCGCCGAAGAAGAAGCAGCCGGTTCCGCCGCAGCCTAAACCGGAAGAAGAAGAAGGAAAAAAAATCAACACAAATCGAAAAAATAAAAAAAACCCCAGATTTCAAAATCCGGAATTGATCAAACCCAATCGTCGGCATCTCCAAAAATTGGGCAGGAAGATTAACCTTGGATCGTTTGGTAGGACGTGAGGATGAAGAAGTTGTTTCGGGGGAAGAAGCAGGAAGGCGCTTGGAAGCAGAGGAGCTACGTCTCGTCTCAACCATATCTCTTGTTCTTGAACGCCGCCGTCTCCACCGCTTGATCCAAAGAAGAGAGACGCTTCCAGAGAAAGAGAAAGAAGACAGAGAGAGATTTCGCAAGAGAAGAAGAACGAAAGAAATAACTTTTACTGCAAAGGTCTCTCTTTGTTTTTATCTCTCAATATCTTATACTAGTGTATCTCATAAACTTCCTCTAATCTTTATTCTTCCTCTTATTTAAATTTATAAAGTGCGTATCTGCACATATTTAATATTTTTCCTTTTTCCTTTTTTGTTTCCCATATTTCTCAAACTTAACATTTTCTCTAATTATTTTTAGTCACTCATATTAATTAAAAACGACAAAAAAAAAAGAAGAGTAAATTAAAAATAACAAAATAAAAAGCACCCACTTGAGCTGTTTTGACTAAATTTGGTTTAGATATTTGAAGGAAGTAATTAGATTCTTCTCTTCAGTTGCTTGCAGTAATGGTATGTAGTACAGCTTTTTTATATATTATATAAAAAATTTAGATAAAACGAAACATGCAACGGTCAATATTTCCTTTTTATATTAGGACAAAAATAAAAGAAGAAGTGTGTAATTTATTGAACTAAAACAAGACCGAAGCATTAGAATATTCTGCAAGGCTACTTGGTTTTGTTTTTTTTTTTTGGGGGGGGGGGGGGGGGTTTGCTTGCAATTGCATGTTGACAACTTGACCATGCGTTTTATTTTCATTGCATTAGAAGTAACAATGTACAGCTGCACGCATTTTTTTATTTTTATTGTTTAATATAGTCAACACACCCACAAAACAACTGACACAAGTGTGGTCAGGAAGGAGGAGGGTATGTTTTAATCTCCTCGTCTTCTTCTTCTTTTTTTTCTTTTAATGTAGAGTGATGGCAGATGAATTTCACAATTTTATAAATATGGTCAACTCAACTCTAGTAAAAATAACACATGTTGTATTAAGCACGTGTTATTCAATTCATCCCGCCATTTTATGACCAGTTAGTGTTAGTCTACTATACGACTACTCCGTGTAAATCATTACTCATACGAAACTAAAAGATTCACAACCGTGTCCGTATATGATATGTACACCCCACCCAAAAAAAAAATGTAAGTATTTAAAGGCGGCCCATTAGTGTGGCTTCCCGTTAAGGCCCGGCCCACTAAAATCCCTACGGATCATAAGAAGGGAATTAATTGGTAAGAAGAAAATTTGTGACCAGGCTTTTTGGGATAAGAATCGACAAAAAGAAGAAGATGTTCTTTTTACATGTTTATCAAAAGAATCCTGAATAATTATCTTTCTTTAGTTTCTTTTATATATTTGGGATACGGAGAAGATAAAGAAAAAAAAGAACCATGCATACTCTTCTTAACATCATGACTCATGTCTACAAAAAAAAATGTTGTTAGTAATTGACGAAACGATTGTTCTCGTTTACAAGATATATAGAACCAAAAAAAATAGATATATAGAAAATTTTGGATTTTATGTGCAAAATTACAAGAATTGTATTTATTATAATTGATGTTGTTATGGTCCTTACATACGGACAGTTCAACTATATTCCATATTATTATGCCTTTTAACAACAACAAAAATCTATATTCCATATCATTATCCAATTATTAAGATAATGTTCTCCTCCTTGTAAAATGCATCTCTTTTGTAAACTTAGCCAGTTTAACCTAATAATTCTCGTTCAAATTTAGAACCATGCCATGTTATTGGTCAATCGATCAGCGACATGCTTTATTGAGATAAATCCTATAGTGATTAGACAAGAGAACCAACGTGTTGGGTTATTTTAAGAATATGTTTTCTTGTTTTAAGAATGTTTGGTTGTCTGCCTATATAACGCTATATATTTGTTTTTAAAACTCCTATGTCAGGTTTTGTTTTGTTCCCTTTCAGGGTTCCAAGTCCATAACATGGATTCAAAGAATGTTATCACGGATGGACCTAAGGAATACGCTATCATTGTCATAACCAATTTCTTACGATCCGTTTGGTTCAATTCGATAATGATTTTCATTTGGTTCAAACTTCAAAACATATGCGTTGATTTAAAGCAAAAATAATAATCGTCAACTTTTATATTCCAGCAAACGCGCCCGCCGAGAGTTGATAGTTGTTAAGGGTTAGGTTGAGAGTTGGTGATCACTTGTGTGTTACACAACTTTCACACTTAATATTTTAAACTGGTTGATCAATTTGACTTTACTGCTGTGGTTAGTTAACGTACAATCGAACGAAACCCAGTTAGATCAAAACATAAGTCTTTACTTTGTGCATAGAGACACATGCATATGAATGAATATTAGAAGAATTCATTCAAAATCAAACACTCCAAGTCTTCAAGGATCCTATCTTTATCCTGATTATTCACATACAAATCAATCAAACATAGGTCTTTACTTACTATTTTGCGAAGATGTTTTAAAGATTAAATCAAGAATTTTTTTAAAGAAGACACTTCGAGGATCCTAAAACCCAAGATTATTCACATCCAAATCCAAATACAACCTAGCTACGAGGATAAATTGAAGAAAACATAAATGAAGAAGATAGATAGTTTTTCTTCTTTGTGTACGTGCGTAGTGGGTTCTAATTAACTCCTGCAACGAGCAATTTTGCTGCAACCACGACTGTAAGGATTAGCTTGAGCTCCGTTCTGACAGTTGTAATAAGACGCACCTCTTCTTGAACAAGGCACGCTGTTCTTTTTTAACGATTGATAGCTTATGTATTTTGTGGTCGCCAATACTCTTCTACTGATCTCCGAGTCCATTTCTTCTTCCTCTGCCCCGATACACTCTGCTATTGAACCGTGGCAACCTGAGCCGCCATGGACTCCCCGCTCGTGGCCCACTCCAGACCGTCGAGGTCATTGGTGAAGCCGGCTTGGATCTGAGGTGAAGAGATGATCACGATGAAGAGGATGAGTATCACAAGGGTTGGGAAGAGGGTAAAAGACTTGGCCATTTTTTGTTAGTCTTTCTAGTTCGTTTCTTGGGGTTTCTTGTATTGTGTTACCCCATTCTTCCTTAGGTTAATGTTTTTATATACATGGACATGGTGAGTGCGTAGACTCAGTTTTTGTTTTTTGTTAGTGGTTGAAGCTTTTTCTTTTTCTTTTTTTATTAAGAAAATCAATAGAATGAGATCAATATTTTTTGATAGAGAAATGCTAGTAACGTTTTTTTTTCTTTTGAAATTTTAACGAGCTTTGATTTGACGAAATAACTTTTGTAGACAAAATACATATATTTATTAAAAAAATGAATTTTTATTTATTTATGTATCTGCGATATTAACAGAAATGCCACTTGACAATGAAATTAAAAAACATTATGCAAAATTAATAATTAATATAATGGAGAATTGTTGGGAGTGGTTGAATATTTGTTAAACCCGACACTAGTTGAACCAAAACGATTTGGGTGCATTTGAGCGGTCAAATCGTTTCTCATTATCCATTTGACTTTTCATAATCAACATTATCATTTGTTTAATGATCTGAAAGCACTGAATCTAGATGACATAATAAATTTAATTTGTTTTGTTCATTAATACGTGGATGCAAAATTACTCTTCTTCGACCAATATCAATTAGTTTTTTTTTTTTTTTTGGTAAATTATGTTACTATAACGAAGAGTCTTCTTGGTATTAAGCACCAACTATTTTTTTAACTACTGAGTTCCAAATAAATATAGAAACAACTATCATGGTTCGCTTTGTTAAAAAGAGAAAGAAAACATACGTACAGTATATCGAAACAACGAAAGCTTGATTCGTTTTCCCTTGTCAACAACAACAACCGTAAAATACATGAGAGTTGGGACATCGTTATCCCAACAAAACATATAAAGAAACCTAACCCCCTTTTTTAATTAAAAACAAAAAACTAAAACTAAAATATAATCTAGAATTGTAATTAGACAAGCACTTTCAAATAAAATCGTGTTTTAAATTGATAATGTAATCCTTCATATTTGTTCTGTCTCCCCGAATCAGTATCAAAACGCGTTTCATAATCTTTTGATCCATAGGATAGGACCGCTCGTGTCATAAGAAGTAAAAAAAAAAAGGTATGAAGATATAAGACTAGCAGTATGAAGGTTTATAAGTTTAACCATAGTTTTTTTTTTTTCAATATATAAAAAACTTTCTTCACATACAAGTAACAATCTCATGGACTTGTGAACACAAATACACAATACAGGCCTTTTCTTCTCCTATGAGCTCTCTCTCTCTCTCTCTCACTAGTCTCTTCTAAGGTTTTACTTTTGTGAAGATGCAATATGTAACAAAGCTTCACAGTTTCATCTTTCTAACTTGCTCAGCACGTCATCCATCGGTGGCAACTCCTTCGATATCTCAGCCCAATCTGGCATCCCCTGAAACAAGAAAAAACATTGATATCACCCAATGAATTCATCAATCAAGAACACTAAAAGAGCCAGTTTTGCATCCAGCATGAGAAACCAAGAGAGGCAAGGTTTCTAGATGAAACTTACTCTACCCGATCTGCGGACTCGACCATCTAACCGCAGTACAATGTACACGTCATCACCTGGATCAACTCCCTCAGATATCTGTTGATCTCTTATCCACCTGAACCAAACCAAACCAGAGACAATCTTTAAGACTCAAAAACAAAGTTCCCCTCTCTCTTCTATCAAACTTTGATCACCAGAAAAGGCGATGAAAGTTTCTACCTTTCCCATTCACCAGGCGAAACAGTCTCGGCCTTGAACCTGATTTCACCTTTCAGCTTCGATTGGGCTACTACCGATTGAGCCCGTGTATCAAAATCTTCCTATTATGTAAAGAAAAATCACTGCTTTGCAAAATGAGAATGAAGGTGAAGTGAATATTTGTTTGCTTTGTTACAACAAAAAATATTTTCGTTACCCCAATTGAAGGAAGGGATGTAGCTGCCTTTGAAGAAGCTCCAAAGCCTTTTTTTTCGATTACTGGTGTTTTACGTTCACCCCATACCACAGGAACTAAGAGAACACCTCTTCTTAGGAGCTCGGTTCTGAACCTATCCGCTTTTTGCATTGCGGCTGTTACAGTCTCTTTTTTCCCAGCCAGAATAACCTAACAAGAGTGTCAATCACCTAACCGTTTCAGAAACTTAAAAGGCTAATTAACACTTGAAGCAGTGTAGCAGGATCAAAGACTCACTGGTCGAACTGTATCCCGCAGCTGCACAAGTTCAACAACTCGGTTGGTTGACAGACGTAATGGCAGCCGGGAAAGAGTTTCGTCTCGAGTTATTTGAACCATTTGTTCTTCCTCTTTCTTGTTTTCCCAAAGGAACAATGAAACCAGAACAACAATACCTGTACATTGCTGTTCCTAAAGCTTACTCACATGACAGAGGAAAAAATGGAATTTAAGATTCAAGTTGTGTTTCTGACTCACCTCCAATGTTAATTGCAGCATTTCCTGTAGTTTCCAGAAGATCTGGAGCACCATCGCCGCCTTTAAATGCCTGAATCAGTCTTGGTACGGTAAAGAACGTTGAGATACCTGCTGCTGCAGCAAATGCAAAATAAAAGAATTTTCTAACACCACGAAATGGTGCTCGTACTTCGCTGATAAGTTTTAGATCTCTCCGAAAACTATCACCAATATCTTCTCCGCCTAACCAATATCTTCTCAGCAATTGGATCCTCTTCTATGGCCTGATCAGCAGCAGGCTCAAAATTTTCAGCCATATCACTTATCTTGGATGACGTTTCTCCAAGAGTATGTGAGTGAAACGAAAATTTTGGCCTCACAT